CTCTACTGCAAACTGAAACAGTACCTGTGATAACAGCGTCAAATGACTCAGCCTCAGGCCTGGATGGAAAAGCATAACATCGGGGCTGAGCCCCACCGCTCTGAACCACGTCCCTGGGACGGCCTCTAACTGCCTGGCCTCCACCTCTAATGGCCTAACCTCCACTTCTAACAGTCTGGACTCTAACTCTGACTGGCTGACCCCTACCTCTGGTTGCCTGAGCAGGCGGTGGAACAACTGGTGCTGGGACCATGGCACGAGAACCCTGATGCTGTGGCGTGAGGCCCAATAATCTCGGACAGGTCCTCCTGATATGCCCACAACCACCACACTTGAAACATCCATCCTGGTGCTGTGGCTGAGGAAACTAGGACTGACCCGAACGGGCCAGATAACCACGGTAATAACTATGAATAGGAGGTGCACTGATAGGAGCTGGTGGTGCACTATAGGCTGGCTGTCCGGAATGAGGCACATAAGGACCACGACTACCTGAAGTACTGTGGGATACCTGAAGTGCTGAATGAAATGGCCTAGGAGGATAGCCTCTACCAAAAGTACCCCTACCTCCAGATGAGGCACCGCTGAACCCACCGAAATGACGAGGTCTCTTGTCAGACTCCTGACCTCCCTATGCAAGAACCATCTCGACTCGCCTGGCAACATTGGCAGCCGCCTGAAAAGAAATCCCACTCCCAGTCTCCTTAGCCATCTACAACCTGATAGGCTAAGCAAGTCCCTCAATAAACCTCCTCACCCTCTCTCTCTCTCTCTCTCTCTCTCTCTCTCTCTCTCTCTCTCTCTCTCTCTCTTTCTCTCTCTCTCTCTCTCTCTATCTATCTCTCTCTATCTCTCTCTCTCTATCTCGGTAGGAAGTAGAAGAAGAGCATGACCGACCAAATCCACAAAACGGGTCTCATATAGAGTAACAGCCATACTGCCCTGCTGGAGACGCTCGAACTGACGATGATACTCCTCTCTCAATGTGACAGGGAGGAACTTCTCTAGGAAGAGCTGAGAGAACTGGTCCCAAGTAAGAGCAGGCGGCCCAGCTGGTTTGGTCAACAAATAATCTCTCCATCATTTCTTGACGGAACCTGTCATCTGAAATACAGCAAAATTGACCCCATTGGTCTCCACTATACCCATGTTCTGTAGCACCTCATGATAGCTGTCATGATACTCCTGGGGATCCTCTGAAGATGCACCACTGAAGTGAACTGCAAAGATTTTAGTAAACCTGTCTAATCTCTATAAAGCCTCAGAAGACATGGCGGATCCATCACCGGCCTGTGCCGCAATAACTGGCTGAACAATCCCAACTGGCAGGGCTACTGGAGTCTGATACTGGGGAACCATCTGCTCCAGAGTGTGAGTAGCGGGAGTCTGTGGTCCTCCCCCAACTTGAGAGACGGCTGGTTCCGTATGAAAGGTACCGGCCTGGTCCACACTCTCCATAAGGCCTACCAAACAGACCAAAGCATCCTGAAGCACTGGGGTGGCGATGAACCCCTCTGGAACCTGAGCTGGTCCAGCAGGCACAGTCTAGGATGGAACCTCCTCCTCAAACTCGACCTGGGGCTCCACTGCTGGTATTGCTGCTTGAGCTCTGGGCTGAGCTCTGGGTTGAGCTCTGCCCCTGCCTCGGCCTCTGGCGCGGCCTCGGCCTCGACCTCTTCCCCTCGTAGGAGCTGCCACTGGGGGCTCCGGCTGCTGTCCAGTTGAAGATGTAGCATGTGTTCTCACCATCTGCGGAAGGACAAGAATAGTAGAGTTCAATCAGCAATGATAGAATAAAATCGCACGACAAAGAAGAATAAAAGTGAAATGGTTCCTAAACTTCATAGCCTCTAGAAGATAAGCACAGACATCTCCGTACCGATCCTCCAGACTCTACTAAGTATACTCGTGAATTGTGAGATCTAGGCAACCTAGTACTCTAATACCAACTTGTCACGACCCGAAATCCCCCCTTCGGGACCGTGATGGTGCCTAGCATTTCACTTGCTAAGCAAGCCAATGTTAGAGAATCATTAAGCTAATTTTTATTCAACTCAGTACATAAAGTCAAACAAGCTGAAACGTAAAGAAACGAGTGCGGAATAATATAAATACTATAATATTTACTATAACCCGGATCTGGAATCACAATTTACGAACTTCTAGGATTTACTACATGTAAAGTTTGAAAGAAATAAAACTGTTTGAACGAAAGAAACAATAAAAACAGGGGAAGATAGATGGGAACGTCAAGGTCTGTAAACGCCAACAGATCTACCTTGAGTCTCCAATGAACCAGTCTGAGCTGCTATGCCTCTCGATCAGCTGGGACCAATGCCAAAATCTGCATAGGAAGTGCAGAGTGTAGTATGAGTACAACCGACTCATGTACTCTGTAAGTGTCGAGTCTAACCTCGACGAAATAGTGACGAGGATAAGGCGGGTCACTCACACTACAACATGTACGCAATATATATAATAAAGACAGAAAAAGGGTATACAGAGTGAAATAAAGCAGTAATTTGAAAATAATGGCTACAACTTCAGGAAATAAGCCAATGACGTTTAGAATTACCAATCCTTAAGTTCAAAAGAAAGTACCGTGAAACTAACACAGCTCAGGGAAATATAAACACATAGGTTGTTGCGGCGCGCAACCCGATCCCACCGTACATAACATAATCCTCCCTTATTTCCTCGTAACAACATTAATAACAATAAGTATATATATGTGTGTCTTGCAGCGCGTAACCCGATCCCACCATATCACAATATCGGTATCATAATTCACCCTTATTCCACCACATCAATCCACCATTATTACACATGTTGCGGCGTGCAACCCGATCCCACCATATCAATACCAAGTACTTAAAGTGCACAGTAAAATTTACAATTCAAATCACGGAAAGCCTTTACAATCCATAAATACCAAATTGAACCAAATAGAAAACCTGGTACAATATGAGGATCTACATAAGTAATACTACACAGCGAGACCAGTCCATCAATTTACAACTAGGAAGTGCAAATAAACCAACTTGAGCAAATAGCAGGAGATTATGAAACTATGAAAAAATCTAATATCATAAACAGGAGAAGACATTGATTAACATGTAGCAATTAGGCATGGAAACACATTTAGAGCATACAACAATTAAGGCAGGGAAGGAGATAATTAAAGAAAACCATGAAAAATAGGGAAACAGATAATTCGGCGGCGCATAAGCACTCGTCACCTCGCATATACACCGCTCACATGAAATTCACATAACACATAATCCGAGGGTTCCTAATTCCCTCAAGTCAAGGTTAGACACAACACTTACCTCGCTCCAAAGGCCACTCAATGCTCAATCACGACGTTTTCTCTAGAATCCGCCTCCAACTCACTCGTATCTAACCACAATTGACTCAATAATATTAAATATTGCTAAAGGTATCAATTAAAATGCATAAATTTATATTTCCCAAACTTTCCCCCCAAAAAGTCAAAAATCGACCCCGGACCCGCTTGGTCAAAACCCGAGGTTCAGACCAAAATCCATTTACCCATTCACCCCAAGCCCGATTATGTAACTAGTTTCATAATCCGACCCCAAATTGAGGTCTAAATCCCCAATTTGCAAAAAAACTCAATTCTTCCTAAATCCCTAGTTTTTTACCATGAAAGAACAAAGATTAGGGCTAGGAATTAATGGGTGATGTTAGAAATGGAAGAAAATGAGTTAAAGAGTACAAACCTATAAATTGATCTTGAGTTTTCTCTTCAAAATCGCTCCTAGGCCGAGTTCTAATAGAAGGGTTATGAAATTTTGGTAAAAGCTCGCTACTATTCTGTTTTAAGTCACAAGCGTCAGGCCTTCTTCGCATTTGCGAAGGGCCTGCCACGTTCGCGATGAGCAGCAACCCAAGTGGCTTTCGCGTTCGCGAGTCCTCCTTCGCGTTCACGAAGACTGCTCCCCCCGGCCTTCGCGTTCGCGAGCCAATGCTCGTGTTCGCATAGAAGAATAACTGACCCCTCCCACAGGTCCCTAAAGCTTCGCGTTCGCGAGAAGCTGGTCGCGTTCGCGAAGGGTAAGGCCCCCATTGCTTCACATTCGCGATCCAGCTACCGCGTTCGCGATTAAGAAAATAACCCTGCCCCAATTTACTCTTCGCGTTCGCGAGAAGCTGGTCGCGTTCGCGAAGGGTAAGGCCCCCATTGCTTCACATTCGCGATCCAGCTACCGCGTTCGCGATTAAGAAAATAACCCTGCCCCAATTTACTCTTCGCGTTCGCGAGAGTACCTTCGCGAATGCGAAGAAGAAGACACCAGATAACGGCTGAAGCACAAAAAAACCAGATTTTCTAAGTTTCAAAACACCCGTAGACTATCCTAAACTCACCCGAGCCCTCGGTGCTCCAAACCAATTATGCACACAAGTCCAAAAACTTCATACGAACTCGCTCGCGCGAACAAAATACCAAAATAATACGAATTGTGTGCCTAGTAATACGAACAAAAAATGATTTGATTTACCAATTGTGCACACGTTATCAGCACGAATTGCTCATTTCATGATCTTCTACGTCAAGACTATGTAAATTATAAGCAACCAATGAGATCAAGTACAATGAAAAATGTCTTGGATGATAATACAAAGATAAGTTTTACATCCATCAGAACCCATTCATACTTTCATATCTTTGCATTAACTTTATATGCAGTATTTAGTTAAAATATTTTTTTCAATTGTATCCACTGAAATAAAGAACTGGAAAGGTATGTCTTTATTTGCTACATCTCTTATAGGATAAAGATAATATTACAACGTATATATATGTTCTGACCTTTTACATACTATGATAGATAATTATTAAGGTAATTTAGTAATAATATTTTTACCATCACATGATGTATTTCATTGAAAGCAAAATTATCAAATATGTAGGCGATTTTACAGTACCTTGCAAATTTGGCATTCGAATATACAATCAATATAAACTCATTATAGTTATAATTTATAATAGTCACGGTTATGCATTAAGCCTTAAATATTTTTGCTGGAAACATAAGGCTCATTCCTCCGTATTGGATTTTTTTGGTGAAGTTCTCATAGTCTTTGAAATAAAAGTGGTTAAAGGTTATCTGCATCTTTCCCCTAATTAATTTATTAAAATGAAAAGTGATTGTATCATTTTTTAAAAAAAGTTGTCATATATCCTAACTAGCATTTTTGTTGCAGAGGAACTGTTTCAAGATTGAAATAGTTATATATGTCTTCTTGAAAGTTAATTTTTTTTATGCCTATATAAAGGTCTTGTAATACCAAAATAATATGAAATGAGCAATTCGTGCTGATAACGTGTGCCTAGTAATACGAATTGAACACCAAATCAAATGAAATTTTTAAGAAAACTTTAAAACTTCTATTTCAATAACTGAATGTCCGAATCACTCCAAACCAACTCCATTTCTCACCAAATTTGATAGACAAGTCATAAATATAATAGTGGACCTGTACCGGGCTCCGGAACAAAAATACAGAACCGGTATCAACAAGACCAAACATCAGTCGATTCTTAAAAATCATAAAACTTTAAAACTTTCAATTTTCAACAAAAATCAATAACTCGAGCTAGGGACCTCCGAATTCGATTCGGGGCATATGCCCAGGTCTCAAATTACTATACGGACCCATCAGGACCGTCAAAATATGGATCCGGATCCGTTTGCTCAAAACGTTGACTGAAGTCAACTCAAATGAGTTTTTCAGACAAAATTCTTATTTTTATCAGTTTTTAACATATAAGCCTTCCGGAAGAACACCCGAACTGTGCACGCAAATCGAGAAAGGCTAAAATGAGGTATTTGAGGCCTCGGAACACATAGTTAGGTTCTAAAACCTAAGATGACCTATCAGGTCATCACAACAACATCGTATCAGAGCCATGACGAATAATGGTCCGCTATCTTTTCAGCACCCCCATCTCACAAAAGATAATTATGAGAAATGGCGTCTACGTATGAAAGCTATTCTTGGCTCTCAGGATGTATGGGAAATCGTAGACAGAGTGTATGCAAAAATCGATAATGAGGAAGTTTTGCCTCAAAATGAAAAAGAGGTCTTGGCAAAGACGAGGAAGAAGGATCAACAAGCCCTCACGCTCATCCACCAATGTCTGGAGGATGCCATGTTTGAGAAACTGGCAGATGCTACCACATCAAAGGAAGCTTGGGGGATTTTACAAAATTCTCTTCAAGGAGTTGACAAGGTGAGAAAGGTAAAACTTCAAACTCTAAGGGCTAATTTTGAAGTCTTAAAAATGAAAGAATCCGAATGATTTCGCATTATTGTTCAAAAGTGAAGGCTGTTGTAAATCTACTAAGAAGATACGGGAAGGACATAGAAGATGTCTGTGTGGTAGAAACTATCCTTCGCACTTTAACACCTAAATTTAATTTTGTGGTATGTGCTATTGAAGAGTCTAAAGATTTAGACTATATGATGGTAGAGCAATTAAAGGGATCTTTACAGGCCCACGAAGAAAAGATCAAAAGGAGACAAGAAGTGCCATTGGAGCAACTTTTTAAAACTCAGGCATCCTTCAAGGATTATGGAGGTGAAAAGATTTATCGAGGGAATGGACGGGGACAAGGCTGTGGCGGTCATGAAAGAGGAAGAAGTAACGGTAACAACTTCAACAATGAAGTTAAAATCCACCAGACATTCAGAGGTCGTGGTCGTGGACATAGAGGAGTAAGGGGACGTGGCTATTACCAAGAAAATAATAGACAGAGGTATGACAAATCCAAAATTGAGTATTATAATTGTCATAAATTTAGACATTACTCTTGGGAATGTCGTAGCAATGTTGAAGAAAAAGCTAACCTTGTTGATGACAAGAAAGAAGAGGATGAGTCAATGTTGTTGCTGACACTCAAGGAAGAAGACATGGATGATTGTAGCGCGTGGTATTTGGAAAATAGAGCAAGCAATCATATGTGTGGATGCAAAGAGAAGTTCGTGGATATCAATAAAAAGGTGAGGTAATGTGTCCTTTGGAGATACCTCAAAGATTCAAATCAAAGGGATATGTACGATTTTGATCTCTTGTAAAGATGGTAGTCACAAGCTAATTCAAGATGTTTATTATGTGCCAAAATTAAAAAGTAATATTTTGAGTTTGGGCCAGCTTCTTGAAAAGTAATATGACATCCACATGAAAAATATGCATCTTTGGCTTAGAGATTCAAGTGGAATTCTAATTGCTAAAGTGCATATGGCAAAGAATAGATTATTTTCTCTGAATCTTAAAACAATTGATGCAAAGTGCTTGAAGGCTAATGTGCAAGATGAATCATGGTGTTGGCACATGCAATTTGAGCACTTGAATTTTGAAGTGCTCAAATCAATAGGAGAAAAGAACATGGTGCATGGGATACCATCCCAATCAATTGTGTGAAGCTTGTCTTCTTGAAAAATATGCAAGGAGGATTTTTCCAAAGAAGACCATGTCAAGATCAACCAAACTGCTCTATCTTGTTCACACTGATGTGTGTGGACCAATTAATCCACCTTTCTTTGGTAAAAGTAAATATGTTTGACTCTTCATTGATGACTTTAGTAGAAAGACTTGGGTTTATTTCTTGAATCAAAAATCTGAAACTTTTGCAGCTTTTAAAAATTTCAAAGTACTTGTAGAAAATGAAAGTGTAATGAAATAAAATCTTTAAGGTCCAATAGAGGAGGCAAATTCACTTCAAAAGAATTTAATGACTTTCGTCAATCTCATAGAATTCGTCACCCTCTAACGATACCTTATTCACCCCAACAAAATGGAGTTGCAGAGAGAAAGAATAGAACGATTCTTAATATGGCTAGATGTATGGTGAAAGCTAAAAGTATGCCTAAGGAATTTTGGGTGGAAGCTGTTTCTTGTGCAGTTTATTTGAACAGCAGGTCTCCAACAAGGAATGTTAGAGATCAAACCCCTCAAGAAGCATGGAGTGGAAGAAAGCCAAGTGTCAAGCACTTGAGAATCTTTGGGATCATAGCATATGCTCATGTGCCACAACAAGAGAGAGCAAAACTGGACGATCGAAGTGTCAAGCATGTGTTTGTTGGTTATGATATAAGTTCAAAAGGATACAAGTTATACAACCCAAGCATCGGCAAGGTGGCGGTGAGTCGTGATGTTGAATTTGATGAAGAATTGCCAAGGAATTGGGAAGCTCAGGAAGAAACTTCATATGATTTTCCATACTTTGGTGATGAAGAAGAACTAGAGACCGTGGAACATGTGCAAGATGCAACTCCACCTCCTTCTTAAACCAATGTCGCATGTCTTTCTTCTAAACACAGTTCAAATGAACAACCGCAACGGACGAGGAGTATTCAAGAGCTCTATGATGGCACAAAATAAGCTACTAATTTTGATTTTTTATATTGTCTCTTTGCTGATAGTGAACCAATAAACTTTGATGAAGCTGCTACAGACAAAAGGTAGAGACAAGACATGAAGGAGGAGATCGAGTGAATAGAGAAGAACAACACTTGGGAGTTAACAACTCTTTCCAAGGGTCATCGCGCAATTGGAGTAAAATGGGTATACAAGACAAAGAAGAATGATGATGAAGATGTGGAGAGATATAAGGCACGACTTGTGGCTAAAGGCTACAATCAAAGGCAAGGGATTGACTATAAAGAAGTTTATGCACATATTTCCCACATGGAGATGATTCGTTTGCGCCGCAAATGAAGTGGAATATCCATCAACTAGACGTCAAGTCAGCCTTCTTGAATGGTTATCTTGAAGAAGAAATATATGTTGAACAACCATTAGGCTTCGTGGTCAAAAACCATGAAGATAAAGTGCTGAAGTTGAACAAAGCTTTATATGGATTGATGTAAGCCCCACAAGGATGGAATAGTTGCATCGACAAGTATTTTCAAGACAATGGGTTTACTCGTTATCTCCATGAATATGTTCTTTACTTTAAAGTTTATACTAATGGAGATATCTTGCTTGTTTGTCTTTATGTTGATACTCTTATTTTCACCAAAAACAACCCAAGTTTGTTTGAAGCTTTTAAGAAAGATATGTCCCGTAAGTTTGAAATGACAGACGTAGGGCTCATGTCATACTACCTAGGCCTAGAAATGAAGCAGATGGAAGATGAAATTTTCATCTCTCAAGAAAGATATACGAAAAAAATTTTGAAGAAGTTCAACATGCTCGATTGCAACCCCGTGAACACACCGATTGAGAGTGGGACAAAATTGTCCAAGTTTGATGAAGGAGAAAATATGGATCCCACTTTTTTCAAAAGCCTTGTGGGAAGTTTGAGGTACTTGACTTGTACCAGGCTAGATATACTCTTTGCAGTTGGAGTAGTAAGTCGCTTCATGGAAGCTCCTACCTCCACCCATTTGAAAGTCACTAGAAGAATTATTCGTTACCTAGGTACGATTGACTTTGGGCTATTTTATTCTTATTCTAGTGATTTCAACCTTATGGGATTTTGTGATAGTGATTATGCGGGAGATATTGATGATAGAAAAAGCACAACTGGTTTTGTATTTTTCTGGGTGATTCTGTTATTTCTTGGAGTTCAATGAAATAATCAATTATTACTCTCTCGACTTGTGAAGATGAATATGTAGCAGCAACATCTTGTACGTGTCATGCTATTTGGCTGAGAAGATTATTAAAGAAGCTCAATTTGCCACAAATTGAAGCTACAGAGATTTATATTAACAACAAATCTGCACAGGCACTTGCCAAGAACTTGGTGTATCATGATCGAAGCAAGCATATAGATACAAGCTATCATTTCATCAGAGAATGTATTGCCAAAAAGAAAGTCGAGCTCAAATATGTGAAGTTTCATGACCCGGCTGCAGATATCTTCACAAAACCTCTCAAGTTCGAAGATTTTTAGAGATTGAGATCAAGACTTGGAATGACTAAGAAAATTCAAAATTAAGGAGGGAATTTGTGGGACCCATAAAGGAAATAAAGAAAAGGATTGAAAAAAGTTGGAAAAATAAAGTGGGCGGCTGAACAATTTGCCAAGTTGGGTGGTTGAACAATTTGCTTTACAAATTATTGAATGAGCAAATCTGATTGGTTGGTTTGGAGGCAACTTTGCCTATAAAAGGAAGTGTTTCGTTTTAGTTTAAAACACACCAAAACAAAGAGAAGCAATAGAAGTTAGAGAGAGTAATCCACAGATTATAGTCTGTGAGATAAATAGTGGGTGTCAGTAATATTGTAGTGAGGTATTTTAAATAAAGAGTGTTATTTCTTTCAAAATTAGAGTAGTCTCTTGACACTACTAAGTTTTAATATTATAGTGGTAATATTGTTCCGTTCGGGTATTATATTTACATCATTAAAAGAGTTGGTGTCGTTGTTACTCTCTTGTTTATTATTATTTTCGGTGGATATTATTTATGGGCGGAATTATTATTTTTCACAACAATGAATGCTAACAAACCCTTTCTTGGATCAAATTGCCACGTGAGCACTGTAATTTGGCAGAAAACACATGGTCTTCATTAAAGCAAGTAGATAAATATTTCTTTTTCAATCAACTCTTAAATAATCGACCTCTATCCTTAATCCGTGAGAATTCAAGCGATCAAATACCAAATCGAAGGTCACAAGATCAAATCGAACTACAACCCAACATGTTGAAACCAAGCAGATTCGAAACTATGAGACATTCAAATACGTAAATGAAACAGAATACACGCAACGAAAGAGAATTCAACCGAACTAGTTGTTACTCGAAAATTGTGAACCGCGACTACTAACACTCAGCTTTATCACAAAAGCCATAAAACTGCAGATTCAAACATGTATTAAACTCACCCAGAACGATAAACAAATTCACCAGAAGAAACTAAAGAAAAAACAAGTAGCCACAGTCACATGAATTAATCAATAACAAATTAACAAACATAATAAACTAAATTAAAATAGAGGGGATAACAGAATGAACCTGTTAAGTAAGAATCACTTTAGTAACGACAGAAGAGACCAGCGCGTACACATTTTGTGCCAAAATCCAAGCGAGAAAGTAGGAATGGATCCAAACAGAGATCGCGAACCCAAATCAGAACCACGAGCGACGACAGACAGATGACGGAGAACTCGAGAGGACTTCAAACTCAATCAAACTCCACAATTTCAAACGGACTCCATTGATTTAAAAAACAAAATTAAACAAAGAAACTAACTGTTTTTGTATACTTTCGAGCTTGGAACAAAGATGAAAATGGAAGAAGCCAAAAAAAATTTGAGAAAAGAAATTCTAAAAGAAAACTCTTAGAAGAATTTTGAAACCCTCAATCTCTCCTCCTTTTCCGCCCGTGTCGTCTTTTTTGTATATGTTTGTGTGTTTATATGCAAGTGCGCGACTTGGGGAGAAAGGATATGGGCAGGTGATGCAGAGGATAGTGGGGATATGAGTGGGAGACATGAGTGGTGAAAATGGGAGCGTGAGTAGGGAAGTGGGAAGTTAGGTATTGGGGAGATGAGTGGGAAAAAATTTAAGTACAGTAAAAAATTAGGTGCTCACAGCATGCCCCTCTTAGTTTGGAACATGAAGAGTTTCAGGCAAAGATAGGGTGAGCCATGTGACTAATTTTTGACCAAACCGTTATTCAAAAAGGAAAAGAAATAAAAGATAGGGTGCAACCGAGTCCTGGTTTTGGGCAGCCTAAATATCCCGGGTTATAAGGGAATCGGGTCGCGTGTAGTTCAAGGAGAATGGTGGAATGATGAGTTGTAGAGTTGTGTGAGGCGCCGTCGAGGTTCCGGTTCGTGTTCCTGTCATTACATCAGAATAAAAATAAAAATAAGATAAAATTACAAGAAAAACTACAAGATCCTCTCTACTCTTCTGTCTTGAATTTTCCTCGGCCTTGTTGTGCATCTTGACCTGCTGACTCGCATTCCTAAGTTGAGCTTCCGCTGCTTTTAAATTGATTTGACCATATTCTTCAGGCGGGCTCCTGCTATTTTGACTTGAAATGAACTTGAACTTGAAGTAGACTCGAGCTTGAGACCAATTTCTGAAGTAAATACCCTCATTCTCTAGGTGGGTGCCCGACATTCTGAAACGTTAACCCTCGTTGTCTAGTGAGTGCCAGCAATCACAGTGAAAACAAACAAAACAAAGAAAATTTTCTGCCCCAGTTTATACCGAGAACATTTGTGAGTTTTAGTTGAATCCCATTATCCAGGAGGGTCCTGAGAATTTAAAATCTAAATCTCATTATCCATGTCCTGAAAACTTAAAACCAAATCCTATTATCCAGGAAAGTCATGAAAACATACAACTAAATCCCATTATCCAGAGGAGTTCTGAAAACTTAAAATTAAATTACATTATCTATGAGGGTTCTAAAAACTTAAAACATCATTCCATTATCCAGGAGGGTCCTGAAAACCTAAAACTAAATTCCATTATCCAGGAAGGTCCTGAAAACTTACAAATAAATCCCATTATCCAGAAGGGTCCTAAAAATTTAAAGTCTGAATCCTATTATCTAGGAGGATCCTCAAGACTTAAAACCAAATCCCATTATCCAGGAGGGTCCTGAAAATTTAAAGTCTGAATTCTATTATCTAGGAGGATCCTGAAGACTTAAAACCAAATCCCATTATCCAGGAGGGTAGTGAAAATTAAAAGTCTGAATACCATTATCCAAAAGGGTCCTGAAAATCTAAAATTAAATCCCATTATCCGGGAGGGTCCCGAAAATTTAAAGTCTGAATTCCATTATCCAGGAGGGTCCTGAAGACTTAAAACCAAATCTCATTATCCAGGAGGGTCCTGAAAACCTAAAATTAAATTCCATTATCCAGGTGGGTCCTGAAGACTTAAAATTAAATCTCATTATCCAAGAGGATCCTGAAAATTTAAAGTATAAATTCCATTATCCAGGTGGGTCCTGAAGACTTAAAATTAAATCTCATTATCCAAGAGGGTCCTGAAAATTTAAAGTATAAATCCCATTATCCATGAGGGTCGTGAAAACCTAAAATTGAATCCCATTATCCAGGAGGGTCACGAAAATTTAAAGTCTGAATCCCATTATCCAGGAGGGTCCTGAATAATCAAAAATGAACTTATCTGAAAAATGCTTTCCTCATGGAGGTCTCTATAGAACGAACATAATTTCTTGCCCCTGTTTCAAACAAAGAAAATCTTGTTAGTTTGAAAACATGGTGGTTAGTTTATGGCATCATTGCTGAAGGTGTTCACTTATGCCACTGTCATGCTTTATTTGATTGGCTGCTTCGAGTTGACAAGGACTTGTCTGACTTTTGACCACATCTTAACTGTAGAAACCTTTCTGTGATTGGATCTCTTACCACTAATTTATTGCATTGCACTTTGAATTTGACAACTGTGGAACTTTATGTTTCTCAAAATTCAAGAATCACTTGATCATCTGAACTCAAATTATTACCACATTGCACCTTCTGAATCATGTCACTTGTGATGTGCCTGGCCAAACTTTGTCTTGTGCAATAAAAAAGCTGGTAGTAGATTTTGAAATCCTTTCTTGCTTGTTTAAACAAAAACTAACTTGAAAGAGACTCAAAGAAACATAATCAAAAGAACAAAGTGGAGTGATTTTTTGGCAAAAGGAATAGAAAGGGAAGGTCTGAACAAAGACGTCTATTTGGAGAAGAGAGGAAAAGAGACTTATCTGAGTGAAGCACCTGACTCCAATGATCATGACATGCATTTTGGATTGGACAGCCTGATCCTCCAAACCAACCACACCTTCAATTTACGTCATTCCTTTACACTTCAAAACAGGGCTTCAATGACTCAATTTTTCTGTAGAACCGACAGTCCTCACTCGACTTGTAGTGCCTTGAAGGGTTTTTATCAAGCCTCTCATATATTTATCTCTCAACTCACCATCTCCTTGCGATGCCCATGAGGGTTTTCACCAATAAGACTCTTTCATTTATTCATTTTTGTTCCCATGAACAAAGTGCTATCCATAATGTAAGAAACTCATACCTCTATCTTATGCTTGACTTGGAATCCTCAAAGATTTATTGGAAGGTCTTTCTTTGGACCATAATGTGGGATTCTGGTCAAGGTTAGGAAGAAAGGATGGCATGAAGGCTCAAAATAATTTAAGATGAAAAGGTTTAGATTTACAACTTTTGAAATCAGATCTTTTGCCAAAACTAAAACTTCTGCCTCAGTATTTTTGAGTCTGGGGAATTTTAGATTTTTATTTTGATGGGACCGAACCTCAGAGTAATGCTGCCTACGTATCCTTAAAAGGAATCAGGTCAACCATGATTCATTTTGTTTTGTTCCTTTCTTTTTGTTCCTTTTTGTTTCTCCTTTTTCCTTTTCTTTCCTTTTCTATTTTCTAACTCTACTCTGATTCCAAAAGAGGGGTATGAAAGAAAATAAAATAAGACTCAAAGGGGGTATCAAAGGATAAAAGTATTTGGATAGCAGAATAAAATACATTCGTCATAACAATCTTTGAAAATTCCAAGTACAAAACATGTGATTAAAGATGTGCTAAGAAATCATACATAGTATCTTTTGACTGCATAAGAATTGATAGCCATATCTACAGCTTTTCCTTCTATGTTTGTTAAATTCAAAGCACCATTGGGCAACACTCTTGTCACAGTGAACGTCCCCTGCTAGTTTGAGGCGAACTTGCCTTTAGCTTCAGCTTGATGTGGAAGGATGCGCTTCAATACCAGCTGGCCCACTTCAAATTTTCGGGGACACACCTTCTTGTTCTATACGGAGAATGAATCAAATCACCGTACACCTGGCATTGATGACACTTGCGAACAAAGCTGATGCAATCTCGTTCCATGGTGAGCCAATAATAACCTGCTCAAAGCATCGTTTTTGCCAAGACATACCCATTTATATGAGGCCCACAAACTCCAGAATGTACTTCAGTCATGACAATTGAAATTTCCTTAGCATCTACGCACCTCAGTAGCCCTAGGTCTGGAGTCCTCTTGTACAAGATTCCTCCACTTAAGAAAATACCACTAGCTAGACATCGAATGGTTCTCTTTTGATCACCTGTGGTATGTACCGGATATACCCCAGACTTGATGTATTCCTTGATATCATGGAACCAAGGTTTACCATCAAGTTCCTCTTCAACCATATTAAAATAGGCATACTGATCACGGACTTGGATATGCACGGGGTCAACATAAGCCTTATCTGGATGATGTAGCATTAAAGCCAGAGTATCCAGGGCATCAACAATCTCATTATGAATCCTGGGAATATGCCTAAATTCTACTGACCTTGACAAAGATCATGCAGACACTGTCGATATGGTATGAGCTTCAGGTGCCGAGTTTCCCATTCTCCCTGAATCTGGTGAACCAATACATTTGAATCTCCCTAAACCAGTATTTCCTGGACTCCCATGTCTATTGCTAACCTTAAACCTAGAATGCATGCTTCGTACTCAACCATGTTATTGGTGCAATAAAATCAAAGTTGGGCTGTTATAGAGTAGTGTTGCCCTATTTCGGAAATGAGTGCAGCCCCTATTCCGACACCTTTCATGTTAGCAGCTCCATCCAAAAAGAGTTTCCAACATGGCTTTTCATTATAATCAACTTCGTCAACATATAGCACTTCTTCATCAGGAAAATAAGTCTTCAATGGCGCATATTCTCCATCCACCGAATTCTCGGCTAAGTGGTCGGCCAAAGCTTGAGCTTTCATTGCGGTTTGAGTCACATAGATAATTTTAAGCTCTATGAGTAAATTCTGCCACTTTGCAAGTCTGCATGTGGGCATAGGCTTCTGAAAGATATACTTTAGAGGATCCATGCGAGAGATGAGGTAAGTAGTGTAGGACAAAAGATAATGCTTCAACTTTTGTTCCACCCAAGTCAGGGTGCAAGATGTCCTTTCAAGAAGAGTATACTTAACCTTATAAGGAGTGAACTTCTTACTGAGATAATAGATTGCCTGCTCTTTCTTGCCTGTGATGTCATGTTGACCCAGTACACAACCAAAAGAATTATCTAGGACTGTCAAGTACAAGATTAAAGGTCTCCCGGGCTCAGGCGGGACCAACACAGGTGGGTTTGACAGGTACCTCTTGATCTTATAAAATGCTTCTTGACATTTGTCAGTCCACTTGACCGCAACATTCTTCTTCAGCAACTTAAAGATGGGCTCACGGGTTGTTGTGAGTTGAGCAATAAACCTACTAATGTAATTTAACCTTCTGAGCAAGCTCATCACCTTGATTTTATTCTTGGGCGGTGGTAACTCCTGGATGGCCCTGATCTTTGACGGATCTGACTCAATACCACGTCGACTGACCATAAATCCTAACAGTTTCCCAGATGGGACACCAAATGCACATTTTACTGGATTGAGCTTGAGATTATACATACGGAGCCTTTGGAAAAACTTCATCAAATCC